AAACCGTTTTAGAAGTTGTAATAGCATTCTATAAAGATAAGTGAACTGTCTGTTAACAAAGACTTTTTGCTATACAGAAAACTGTCATTACTTGCCACCGTCAAATATTGCTTTTACAAAAACAATACAAATGTCTCGACATCCAATATGCCAACGGAAATTAAAAGATTTGTTTAATATGTAAATATTTCTAGTCTGTTGCCTTCAGGAAAGACAATGAAGTGTGCAAATAAATGTAGTTTTCAGTGTTGTATTAGGTTATAAACTTTGACTTTTTGTATTGATTTAAGGTAAAGTGTTACTTAAGTTGTACATCATTTCGTAATATTAAGATCATAACTTTATCATCTAAAACATGTAAGTGTAATATAAGTAAAGTTAATATAAATAAGGTTTCATTATTCAAGAAAATGAAAAACGAAAAAAAAATCTTTTTTCTCCTGAATGGCGTCTAAAATCATGTAAAATATAAAAAGATTTTTCAGAAGTCCTTTTAAACTTTCATTTTTTACATAACGATGATTTTTTTTCCCAAAATTATCATAGCACTCAGAAAATGTTACGATTAAAAACGTAAATAGATAGAAATAAGTATTCATTTTCATGCAATAAGAATTTGAGAATTTTGAATTATGTTGGGAGTTTAAAACACAAATTATCTTGCATATAAATAAATTATAACGTTTGAATTTACTGTGTATGTTTCTTATGTTTAGAGAAGTGTCTGCTTTGATTTTTCATTTTGAAACATACGTCAAATGAAATTAGATAATATGGAACTATTGCTGATAGTGTTTGATAATAATTGTTCAAATTCAACCCAGCCCACCTGTATGCACTTGCAGCATTCAACTTAAATTCACTGGTACTGCTTTTGAGAAAAAGAGAAAACACAAAAGTTGAATGACAGTTCATTCAATTGAAAAAAATAAATATTTATTTGAAAAATTTACTTAACGTGTGACGAAGTACGTTTTGTGTTCACATAACTTAAAAACAATATTACCTTTAACAAACGAGATCAGTTTAATTTCGATTTGGTTTCAATACACTTGCTATAGTTTTTATTTTGTTAATTGAGCATTCTACAATTTAACGTCGATAATTGGCACTGATTTGGTTATTTCTACATTTTCTTTTCTAAACCTAAATTGCTTAAAATAAAATTCGATATTTTTTAAATGATCAGCTGCTTTTGTGTACATGTGGTTTGCCTAAATTCAATGTATTAGATTTAAGCGTCAATAAGAAACAGCATTTAAATATATATATAAGGATCATTTATAGTTTGAAAGAAGGAATGTCTTTATTAAATTATATGTAAACTAATTTTTATTGAGCAGTCGATATGTGCTTGATTACATACGTCTTATGATTTATCCAATTTAAAATGCTTATCGACTTTTCGATTATTAAGGACAATTTAAATGTCTTTTACCCTATAATTAATATACATAACTATATTTTAATCCTTGTTGAACACTTTGTATTGATAAGAATATTTTTGTCAAAATTGTACAGAAAAAAAAAACAAATTGCCAGTCCAGAAAACGAACATGCCACTTTAAGTTTGGGCTTTGGACGTTATAGTGCGTTAAAAAGGGATCCCAGCCTAAACTTTTACACAACCGTACCGTGACCGATCAGAATAATGTTAATGCCATTTTCATAAGGGTTTTTGCCTCCATGATTTTCAAACGAACTTCGGTTATAGAGAAAACAAATCACCAGTCCTAAAAAGACCATGCCACGTGGAAACCTCCTGGACATATTGCTTGTTTTTAAGTCTTTGTTATTTCTTATATTTTGCAAAGGAGACCCGCAAAACTAATACAAAAACGGATCCGCGTCAGGATCAGACAAATGATGTTTTAACGATTGGCTTGAAAAATGATGTTTTTACGTTGATTTATATACAAACAGAACATGCCACACGGAACTATTATGGACATATTGACTGGGTTATGGCTTTGGGCATATAAGTGTGTAAGAACGATTCTCCAAACCTCAACAAAATCGAATTTGCGAAATTCAAACGGTTGGCTCGAGAAAATGGTGTTTTGTTTTTCGAATATTGATACACTTTACATACAGAAATAACAAATTGCATGTCCATTTTACGAGGGCCTCTACCTATTACTATCCTTCAGTTAACATTTTGAGCCTTATATTGCTGTGAAGAAGGTGCTGCAAACGGAAACATTTTTTACTTTTTACTTTTTTTTATTTACTTTTTCGGGGGATGTATGTGTAGGTAGCATTCATTTTCAAGTTCAAACTATGCATTTTATAAACACTTTTCATTCTAAATTTTATTACATTCTTTAAAACATCTCAAATAATCTGTTTTCATTTAAACGACTTACCATTATTTTATAATGATATTGTCATATGAAGTCAAATTTCTGATAATTTAACACTGAATTTTTAAAAGTGAAGAAAATTGAGATAAAAATTAAAATAGGAATAGATGTTTAAAAATATTATTACCTATCCGAGAAGAAAATGAAGATAAAGCAGTTGAAAATTTAAAATCAGATAAATCAATTGTTTTAAAATCAAAAACATTATGCTGCGTAATGAAATGAATAACACGCGTGACATGTAATACCTGTTCACTGTGGAGGTCATCGGGCACTATTTAATCATGCAAGAATCTGACGTCTTCGAACACAAATGTAAAACACTATTAGCAGTCAACGAACGTCTTCAAAGAAATACACATTGAATGATATGCAAATCATTACACCATGTTACCTATGAATGTAAACTCAATGTACACCTGTCCGTCATGCAGTCAAATAACATATTGAAAAAGGACAAGACAAATTTAAAACTCTGATCAAAACGTGATTACATTTGTAACATATTCACCTGAAGCTTTTGATTCAATAAACAGTTTGACCTTAATGCAATAATTTTAGAAAGAAAAACTTAAGTGAACATAAATATTACATCGATTTCCGTCAAACGGCATTCCAGCTTTTTATGTATAATGCAAACATAGCAAGAAGAAGTAACACGAATTCCAGTGGAAAAGCAAAATAAAATCGAGCCATAAATTATTGTAAGAATTGCGGTACCGGTCTTTCATTTTCTATTTTATGTTGTAGTTGTTTTTGGTGGTGGTGGTGGTTTTGTTGTTGTTGTTTTAAGGAGTTGGATCTTTTGTTTGTATTTTTACTTTAGTTGTTTTTTTTCACGTTTTTCTTTAAATGTCTCAGGCATAAACATAAGATCTTCATCACTTCCTTGGTCATCAATTCAAATATTACCTTTTTAATTTGGATACAATTTAATAAACGTTCATATTCCTCTATGAGATAACTTAATGCAAGATCAGCGGATTACATTTAAAATTAACAATTACATGTATGATACTGTAGATACTTGTGCACATACCATTAAGTTTGCTTCAATTTATACAGCACATTTTCCGTTTCTTCTAAATATATTATTTGATGTATGATGCAAAATGAATAAACAAGTTATATAATCAAAGCAACTCTTTCTTAAGAAAATAGGAAATATGCGGAGTGAATTCGAACGTTATCATTTATTTATCACCTAGATCATTAATTGCTCAAAACACCATGATTTAAAATGCATTTTCTTTACGAACTCTGATGAATGATATAACCTGTATATCTTTATGTCTTTTCTTATCTTCACACTTCCTCTGTGAAATGATAATTTTTGAAAAGCAATCATTTTGACAAATGAACGGTTCAGAATTGTTAAAAAAATATAATTCTATACGACAATCAATTTCCCTGACCGACTGTATAATATTATACAATTGAATTGTAACAGGTTTAAAATTCTGCTAAAACTTATTAATTTTATATTTGATAGTATTTTTTATTAGAATAACAACTGCAGTTGAGAGAGGGTTTGAGACTTCTTTTATTTTCAAACTCAATTAATACAAATGTCCTTTACTCAGTAAAATTCCAAGTCAATCAATACTTAATACCCTTTGTTAATATCGTGTCATTATTTAAATCATAACAACAATCAAGTCGTTCTACATTTATATACCGTACTTTGAGCATTATGATACATGTTTTACAAGACTTGACAATAACTTGTTCAAGTAAACGTATGTTTGGTAAAGATACAAAATGAGATAAGCGGCACGATGAGCGACGTCAGATTTTAGTAAGTTGTTTATTTATTTTTACAAGGCTTTAATTACGGAGAATTCACAATTAGACTGATAAATTTCAACCTAGATCATGAATGAAAAACGTCTCTGAAATTATCCATTTTACCCTGTTTGGTTTCCTTAAAATATCATTAATTTCATTTTGAATTTCAAATAAAAAATCATGTATATACAATAAACGCATGTGGTATGATGAATAAATTGATAAGACACAACTTTTGATTTGAATTATGTAGAAATGTAAACTACTAACTTGAAAAACACTACCGGAGATAATATTTATTGTCCTGTCATTGTGTAACAATGTTTGTATAATGTATCATAGTCCAGTCATTCTAGCTCAAAATAGAGCCAAACCTCAAACAAATTGCAACAGAAAATATTTTGAGTGTTTTGAAACCCCAGACATATAACATTTCAAAAGTCTAGAAAAATCTAAATTGGAGAATGTTTTCAAAAATTGAGATCAAATATATGGGTATCATTGTATTTATTTTTTTAAATTTGAACTCAATGTAATACAAACATACAATTTTCCAATCAGTTTTATATATAATATGCATAAAATATAGCTTAATCTATCCCTATAGTAACATAAAGTAATCAAAAAGTTGTTTTTGTTTAAAGAAACTACTTTTTACCTTTCTAAACTTTATTAATTAACTGAAATGGGTGGGGTAATATTATATTTTCACATTGCTGTAGATCAACAATTTATTGAAAGCTCTATGTTATATGATATTAAACAGAAAATACATAATGGTTTACGTACATGTGAAAACATTCAAGTTTCAACGTTTTATGAATTTAATTTACATTCAATCAATATTTAATGCATATATTGAAATATTTGTATTAACATTGTACAGCTAGTGGGTGGGGTAATTTTATACAAAATAAAGAAACATTAAAGAAATCTATATTATCTATGATAATAATATTGAGTTTTATATTAACTTGAAAACTTTCAAGCACATCTGTTGTATTTTTTTCTGAGTCATTATATAACATCATGACATTGGGTCAAACGAGGTGACATTGACCTTTTGGAAGGTCAATTTCAAATAATTGATACATTTGAGCATAAAATGTAAAAAAAAAATATTTGCAAATTTTAGTTTGTAAAATATCTTCGCTAAGCATAAGCACAAGAATGTCATGACTTTTACAAAGCGTCACTCGCTTCTGTAATTTCTGGTCGACCAATCTTTCACTTTTTATCACTAGATGGTAGCACCTGAAATTCTTCTGGTATATCTTTTCCAGTTCTGAAATTAGAGGAGCATAAACATGTTTGATGGTAAAGAGCATCGACTACAAGCAAGTCGTGAAGCTGTTCTATCCTTGCTCTCATTGTATCAGACAAACAGTCATTCCTCTGTATACATATTTAAAACAGTAGGTTCTAGTGTCCTTACTGGCGAAACATCACACTTCCTTGTTTTACCCTTACTTATTAAAGATTGACCACAATATAAACAATCTTTTTTGTATGAAAACTTATCAGTCATTGATCTCAATGGTGGCATCAGTGTTTTCTTTTTCTGTCTTAGTATCTCTTTTAGTGTAATGTGGGTTACAGTACATCTTTCTACACTCAATGTGAATATATTATTCCGATTCAAGTTCTAAACTGTCATTTTATTTCTCACTGGCAGCATTTATTCCCTTGCATTCCTTTTCGTTGCCTTTAACTGTCTTTGTATGATCATCAAACAGCCGTTAACAAATCCGACAGGAGTTCATCTTGAAAAAAAAAACAACAATAACTGATATTGTAAGATTTATAAAATCTGTTTTTTACATTGTATGGAGGTTGATCCAGAATTACCCCAAATTTGTTTATAATTCTGATAACTTTTTATGTTTTCTTCATTAAATTTATAAATGCGCAAAGATCGATGTTTCTTCTATTTAATTGCCAAATATAATTGATTATAAACATCCAGTACCGTCTCAGGCCGCCTTAAATAACCCTGGATACGCCACAGCAGCGCAATTCAAAGAACACGACGTTCGTTGAAATTTATAATAAACCAAAGTGCCCGACACAAACAGGGATCATGTCCAATATTTGCCGAAGGTTAATGTAAAGCCTGCTAAAATTTCACGTCGTTTGAACATTGTATTATTGTGTAATCATTTGTAATTGCAACGTGTAATCATTTGTAATTGCAACGTTTATTTATACAAAAACGTCTTCATTAAGGCGTCGGAAAACGGCACTTTCATAAACATTTGTCAACTGTTTAGACAGCCTACCATAGAAACATCTAATATGATAAAAGAAATTCAACAGAAGTATTTTGTTAGTTATGCATACAAAACTTTTTGAGGGGTAAAGAAGTTTTTTTTACCAGACTGTTGGTAAATACATAATACATATCGTTTGCGGCATAGAAGAATACGCGTGAAGTTAACGTTCTCCGTCGCTGTGGCGATTGAAAAATACAAATATGTTGTCATATGCGGCCTTGCACAATTTTAATGCGATTTAAAAAAATGAATTATAAGTGACGATTATGTGCTGTTTTTCATACTTTATTTGTTTTCTTTTACATGCACTTTTTATCTAATTAAATTAAATGAATCATATATTTTATGCCTTCAACTTTAAGATGATCATGTGTATGAATCACATCAATCAAAGCAATTAGCAGTTCAATAGTCATTTAGGTTTAGGTTGTTAGTACACTTACAGTGAATGGCATCGGGAGGATTCCCTATGTATAAGAACAATAGAACATCAACCTTTTTTGCATAATGTGACAAATCCTATGTTTGCTTATATGGTAGGCATACTGTATTTAATTATCATATTCTTGTTTCCTTGTAAAGAGGATATATTACGCAGTAATAAAGTGTTTGTTATATGAACTTTGAATAAATATTATTGAATTTATTGTTTAAATTACGGGTATTTCTGGATCATCCCTTGCATTCTTGTATTCTGGTTATTGGTAGCTGATTACGTATTGTTTCAGTTATCCCAGAACAGTATGTGTTATTATAAGATGTATTTTTCCTAAAAGGCTTTCCTTAAAATGTTTTAGGTGTATTTATTTGATCAAAGTTGCTGATATGACACACTTTTCTTGCTAACAGACTTGTGTTTCCGTTAGTATTACCCATGCCGGAAATTTCATCTGGCATAGGGGGTGCCAGATGAGTCGCATGCTGTACAATGTCACGCTTCATGATGACGTAATTTTACTGTTATGAATGAAGTTGTAATTTCATACGCTGTTGTACGAAAATAGTTTCGGTTGTAATGGCATAAATTCCCATTGAAAATTAAGATAAAGAATTCAAAATATAATGTTATATCGTAAAATATGCAAGAAAAAATATTTGACATATGTTTGCGGTTCGGATCGGAATATCCGTCCCTCGGTAACCCGCCCATGTGCGGTAACTCGGCAAGCCTCGTTATCGTCCAATGGGCGGGGTCACCTCGGGACGGTTATTCCGATCCGAACCGCAACATATGACAGATATTATTATTATTTTCTAAGGTTTTAATCTAAAATTATAAATATAAAATACCTACTGGTAAAAGTGTTTGGAAGTAACGTAAAGATAAAGTCACATATTGAGTTTAAAAATGTCACCTTTCAATTTTAAGCATTTCTAATGCCCATCCGTGCATGCATTCAAAAATATTTGTACTGATATGTTACTATATGGAACTTTTGACACACTTTAAAAGTTTGCTTATATGAAAAATATCATTAAAGTGATTTTGTGAAACAAATGTCTCAACTATGCATCTTTACCTTTAACTCGTATACATCACAGTGTCCTCAGAACACATGATCGGGCATACCCATTGGCTCTGGTGTGTTGATGAAATCTGTAACATAGAAATTACTTCAAGTTTGAAAGGATTAGAATCTTATTTTCATATTTACGTGAAATAAGGTTCTATAGAATACACAGATGTTTTTACTGTTACATGTATTTGCTTAAATTTTGATTTTAAAAGTGATAAAATTATACTATAGTCAACTTAGGTGTGTATTCCGAAAGAAATACTAATATATCGCTGTGAATTAATCTTATACACGTAATGCACTTTTTCAAATTCGCGCAGGTGCTAAATTGTATGCATAAAAGATTTTCTTTTAAATTATGGATCAACTGTGCATGTTTACCTTGAACTCATACACATCGCCAATCATGAACCATAACTAGAAATCACGTTTGTTTATTGATAAATTTTTCATGTCACCTTTTCATGTATAAATCTCTTCTATGTCTATTAAAAACTGAATATAATTTCAGATATATTGAATTATGCATACGACGCTCTATTTCCTCCATGTTTAATATTCACTTAAACTAGTAAAAGATAATGTTTGATATTTGTGTTATATATGTAAAAATATTACAAATGTAAGCACAGGAAAGCAAACTTACTCATTTAGTGTACATATAGTTTACTAGATTTTTTTTTTTATTTTCAAAATCAAGCATACATCAATGAAGACTACCTCAAAGCGGTACCCCTGAAATAATAATAACATTACATACATTATATATGTAAAACAATTTTAATAAAACTATTTAAAAATACAAAAAAACAACCTTGAATACACATTTAACAATAAAACATGATTAAAGTATTCAGAATTTATTTTACGTAATTCGTCATAATTAAAGTGATAATGGCGTTCCATAGTTTAAAAATACTGTCGAAATTAACTTGTTATAAATACACATTTTTAGGCCGTTTTTGAATGTTTACTAAGACATGGGTTAATCAGAGTTGTAATTTATATAAATTAAACTGTTTTTCCGTATAATACAGATCGCTTGAAACACCTGTTGACCTTCAACGGATAAAGAACTGGTAAAACAAGTAACAATTTTCAACAAATACTCATAATAATACCCCACATTAATAATTCCTATTATGATCTGTAACATTTTAAGGAAAATATACTAACCCACTTTACAGTGTACTTTACTGACATTTATTTTGTCTACACTTATTTTGTTGTTGTTGTCGCCATTATGCAGTCGCTATTCTGTGTATCGGAGACGCTTTGTTCGCCTATGGAAGACCGTTGTCGTCAGAAAAAAATCACAAAAAAATAACGCGATAAAAACCCGTTATTTTCTATGTTGCGCAACTTAGATTTTGCTAGACTTTTGATATGATTCATGTTATTCCATATACTTTCTATACCAGGTAAAATATTTTCTGTTGCAATTTGTTTGAGGTCGATTTACAGACTGACTGGACTATCATCTCTTCTGATGAACGAGTGTCAATGATGGAATAAACAATTGCATGAACGCTTAACCATGATATGGGTAAATATACGGAACAGTGCTGTCAAAAGTCTAAAACATTGTTAAGATAATGATTAAAGAGAACTACGCAAGTGGTATGATTTCACTGTAGAAAATGATTTAATTTGATACAATTAAATAGATGAAATCATTGTTTTCCATTTGGAATTTACTTTGTTCTATATTGATAAAATGATCACTGTGTATTTAATATAACTTTTTGTGAAATCTTAATTCAAGAGACGGATACGTACACAAGGCCTAGTAGTTTCTCTCTACAGATAAACTGAGAAAAAAGATAAACATAAAAAATCTTTAATCTTAACTAGTTAAAGCACGACTACCGAAAAGTTGTTCAAAGTTTATTTTAAGGTTACTAAGATTCTTTCAAGATAAAATATATAATTAAATTGGGTCAACATTAATTGATCATGCCATGTTGAGGAAGCAATTTTAAAAGCTTTTTATGGCAAGTTTAAGTGGTATTTAGACTTGTTTAATGGATATACTACAACGACAAGGTTTCCTTGAATGTCTACTAGCTTTTAAATGTTACAATCACGCACATTTATCTAAATTCGTTAGATTTTATTGATAGCTTTATAGAATATTTTTGGAAACAAACATTTGATACAGACGACTTTCGAAAAGACTGATAAAAATTGAGATAAATAATTGTCGAGATAAACATACACACGTGTGAATTAAACAAAAAACGAAAATTTTAAATGAATATGTTCAGTGTCTAACGTTTTATCTATACTATTATTCTTGATTTTAAATATTATTCATTATTGTAACAAAGTTTTCACAAGTAACGGATAGTTATAATGTAAAATAAGACTGTCTAGTAAATGTCAATGCCAAAATCACAGAGCGACGATTGCTGGTACAATTTTATTTTTTCTATTCTTATAAGTATCAATTACGACAAGTTAGCTCTATTATTTTTTTCTTTTGGATAATTGACGATATACTGTGTCAATAGCACACATGATTTCAACTCGTATTTAACATTCTCTTATTTTCTCGAAAGCACAAGAATAAAATAACCAGAATTGTTTTATTTTACTTCTGTAACTTGTCAATCAAATGAGTTAAACAATTTCTTTTATTTTTTATTTATAAATCTAATGAAATATTGTACAAAGCTAACGATTTTGAGTTTTGTATTATATCAAATAACGAATTCGAAAAAGAAAGAAAATAAAACAGCAAAACAAACAAATACCGAACTGATGCATACTTTGTTCTGGTTTTAGTTTATTTAGTTAATAAGTTTCCACCTTCTGTCAAATTTTCCTAAATTTGATAAATGAGTAAAAAAAGGATGAATGTGCTTACCACGTGCAAATAATATATGTAAAATTACTTCAGAACAAAATTAAAATGTGGAAGAAGTTATTTTAATTCTTTTTCATAACTTGATTATATAGGTTACAGTTCTATTGCTGAACTATTATTAAAACAGACATTTGATGTGTCACAACTTATACACTCATACACAGGAACTGAATATATCTGAAAGACTTGATATTTACATTTATAATACTGCACGTTTGCATTGTTGCTTTTAATGTGATAATCGTGAAGTTTATATAGTTTTATGTACACCGCTACTCTCAATGTATGCAAAAAGCTATTTTTTCTAAACATTGATGACTGCTATAGTATAAATACATGTGACAGGTTACATGGCCGCAAATAAACGATTGTTTGTCAAAAAACCAGAGTCGCTAGGCGGAGGGTTATATCCCCCAAACAAAAACGTTAACTTTATATACGGCGATATAAGCTAACAATTTTTTTTTATAAATTATAGTATAACCATTATTGAACTTTCTTCTTTCGAATTTCCACGGTAACAAGTTCAGTAAAGAAGTTAAATGAATACATTAAACATTTCAATCATCCATTTATTTCAATGATTTTGAATACGTTTATCGGCATAAGACTTGTCTGTAATTCGAGTCATTTACCATGCTATTATCTATTAAATAGGAATGATTGCCGGATATTCTTAAAAAGATAAGTTGAGCAATTAGTTCCAGTATGCAGTTGCCTATTGTCCGCCTACATTCAGCTATGCACATTCCCATTATATATCTTTATTAAATTATTAAACTATCCATCTTTTTTCTAACAACATAAATGTTTGAATTCATTGTATACATTAAATGACTTTCTACGTGTTATCAAAAATAAGTTAGATTGTCTTTTTCATTATACCGATATGAAAATAAAGGAGTTTAAATTTGTAAAAGCTCGTAACTTATAAGTAAAATAGTACTTCTCAGAAATATAAATTCTTATGAGATTTATGCGCGGCATGGTCATTATCTGGACCGTAGATTTGTTGTGTTTTTTGCTGTATATAATTATCGTAAAAGCACCATTTTCTTGAGCCAACCGTTTTAACACCATTTGTCTGATTCTTTTACAGATTCGATTTGGTACAAGTTTCGAGAGTCTTTCTTACACATAATAAAGCCCGAAGTCCTAAACCAATCAATATGTTCATTAGATTTCCGGATGTCCTGTTTATTTTCTGGACCGCCGATTTGTTCTTTCTTGATACAAATTATCGTAAAAATCATCATTTTTTCGAGTGAACCGTTTTAACACAATTTGTCTGATATTTTTGCAGATACGAATTTTTACATGTTTGAATCATCTTTCTTACACATTATAAAGCTTAAAGGCCAAACGCAATCAATATGTCCGTGAGATTCCCTCGTGGCCTGGTCCTATTCTGGGCAGTCGATTTAAAGTAAAATATTAACTGTTTGAATACAACTTGTCTGATTCCATTCGGGATTCGATTTTGTACAAATTTGGAGGGCTTTCTTGCACACTATTAGGACCAAAGCCCTAGCTCAATCAATATGCCCGTACGATTTCCGCAAATCATTGTCTTTTTCTGGACCGGGATTTTTTTTCTGTATATAAATGAGCGTAAAAACATCGTTTTCGCGAGTCAATCATTGAAACATCATTTGTCTGATCTGATTTTGTGTGATTTTTGTATCCGTTTTGAGGGTTTTCTGTGCAAAATATAAGGGCCAAAGACCTTAAACAAGCGATGTGTCCAGGAGATGGACCGACGATTTGTTTTTCTCTCTCTTTTACCGAAGATTGTTTGAAAATTACGAAGAAAAATCATGGAGACAAAATGCCTTCTGAAAATGAAATAAGTATTTTTGCGATCGATCACGATACAGTTGTCTTATAAGGTAATGAAATGAAATGGTGTGTTACAAAAAATGTACCTTTTTAAAACTGTTATTCAGCTTTATTGTTTTTCTTTTCAATAGCAATACCAGTGAATTTAAGTTAGATACAGAAAGTGCATACAGATCGGCTGGGTTGAATTTAAACGGTTATTACCAAGTATTAACAGCAATAGTTCCATATTTTCTAATTTTATTTGACGTATGATTCGATATGATAAACAACTGTAAATCATAGCAGGCATTTCTCTTAAAGTAAGATATATTAGAAGTTAATTCAAATGTTATCATTTATTTATATGCAAGGTAATTTGATGTTTTAAACACCCAACATAATTCAAAATACGTATTATTTCTCATATTGTGATGCTTTTTTTCTATCTATTTAGTATTACGAATAATTGTAACTTTTCCTGAGTGTTTTGGAAAAATCCATCGCTCTGAAAAAATATCAAATGTTTTTCTGTCCCAAATGATTTATGAAAACAACCTCATTGCATATTTTAAGATTCGATAAATTCCATCGAGATATAACAAAACAAAAAATATCTGATTTACTAAATGATTAAATTACCCATAACTTAACATATTCAAAAGCTTTTTTTGGACAAGTTTAATGGTTGTTGAAACATAATTTACGACAAATTATTCTAAATATTGCTCAAAGAATTGAAAGCGCGTGGTTTCTAGCACATTAATATGACTCATTTGTTGTTTATATTGTTAATAAAAAAAATTCTTAAAACATATAACATTACAAAAGTTCAAATATATTGACATTACATACGTTTCCATGTATGAGATACGTAGTAGTATTAAGATACAATTAGCTTTGCTTTAATATAACTACATATTAAAATCACAACACGGGGAACAAGTTAACCGAATTTACTTTGAAGCGCGCCGTTTTCATTTTAACCGGGTAAATGCTTTTCTTGTAAACAGTGTGGGAAGCACACCATCCTTTGAACAATGATACTGTCATCGTAACATGCGTTTCAAGCAAATTAGATTGAAATTTTTCTCTAACATGACGCATTATTCCTCCTTGTATTGACGCCATTTATTCCTATCAATTTCCAATGCGTATATGCGTTGTTTTGAGACCTTTTAGTTTCTTTTTGTTGTGGACATATCAAACAAGAAGTATATTCGGACTTGGTAAAACTGGCTTACTTTCATTACTTAGTTTTTCATATCGTGAACGTTATTGGTGGTCTCGTTATTTAAGACAGCTTTATAACACAGTACGTTCT